TATTATTATTATTATTTTAACCAGTGATACAATTGTGACAGCCACTTTGGGATATCTGTATTATTTGGGCAAAAAGAAATCCATTGTTTTGCTTATATTTAAAACGTCTATACAAAATTAACTGGATATGTTTAAAAAATAATGAGAATAAATAATAATAATAATCTAAATAAAATGATGAAAAGGTATTTGATGACGATGATATAGATAGTCATGTCTTTGTCTTGACTGATGTGCATGGTAATCATGCTGGAAAAAGAAATGGTATACACTGTACAGATATGTAAAGATTATGATAATGAATGAAATTAAATTAAAAAATTAACTGGATATAACCACATATACAATCAAGTAAAAAGATACTTAATGTAAATAACAAAACCATGCGATTCTTTTTTTAAAAAATCGCATTACCTGAGCAAAGTAGGTGTCCAGGAAAGTCATGCTTATTGACCCCTCAACATGGTCCTTATTGGTTCCTCCGGTGGAGTGCCTCGTTCTCATTGTACCAGACTGCCCCGCGGCGGAACAGGTGACACATGCATTGGCTCCTCCAAACCCTCCAGCAGCTCCAGAGGCTGTCCCTGCTGCAAATCCTGCAGCAGCTCCAGATCCCATAGAAGCCCCAACCTTAGTGGTCAGTTCCATTCCCGAAGCCCCTTCCATTACTGTTCCTCCAGCATAGGTATTTGTACAAACTTCTAAAAACAGGAGAGGAAATTCTGTAACATCTCATGCTGTGATTTGTCATATTTCTTTATTTTTAAAACTGGTATCTATGAATAGTTGTCACATTAAATAAGTGAGAAAAGATGCAGTTAGTGGCCAAGAGGTGGCAAGAACACCCCACAATATGTTATGGTAGAATCACTGAGGAGAAGATAAGAGCAGAGGAAAAAAAGCTCTGAAAACATACTAATTGAAAATATGCACAAAGGAAATTGATTTTCAGTGACAGTAGCCAGAAATAGAAAGGTAAAAACAGAATATTCAGCATACAGCAATGGAAAGCTTCTTGCAATGGTTCTTGTTTTCATGAAAAAAGTAGTAGTGGAGCCAGCCTGTGGTATGGTAATTAAGGCAGCTGGATCCCATATCGCCAACTGCATGGTTAAAGTCCCAGACCCTGCAGTTTAAAAAACACACTGGGCACATGTGCACACGTGCCCCAAATCTCAAGAGGAGAATGGAGAAGGAATGTGGTGTGGCTATCCCCTAGGGGTGTTTTCTCACTTTCCCTCGCTCTCTCTCTCTCAGTCTGGTGAGTGAATGTGCTCTGCAGCAAATTAAAAAAAAAAATCAGTAATTGTAAGTAAGTAGTTACATTGACTTGACATGGAAACCAAAGTGGAAACATACATAATGTAATCAATCATGCAGATTAGCAAGCTCTAATTTGGTGTCTTGGTGCCTAAAGAAAATTTAATAAATTATAATTATTCTGTTTGTTACCTTGTTATTACACTTTCATGAAAAGTTTTTATTGTTTTTCTTTCCCCTTAATTGCCAGAGGCATGTGTGCTTGCCAGACAGAGAGAGACTGACAGGGAGAAAGCACCCCAATAGAGTATGCTCACACAGCAATCCCTTCTCCATTTCTCCACCCCGTTGGGATTTGGGGCACACATATTTATGTGCCTGGCATGTTTTTCAAGCCCCTGGGGCTATGATACAAACCACTGTTGGCCATGTGGGATCTGACTCCCTTAACTAGTAGGCTACAGGGCTGGCCTGGAAAGTTATTTTTTTCTAGAGGATTCTGAATATAGTATTGGCTGTATAATTATATTAGGAAAAGTGGTGAGGATTAGAACAGATGACAAAGGCAGACCACTACATATTGGGGAGATCGACATATATGCAGATTTTGCTAGCTGGATACTTAAAAATCTATTACTAATTATGGAGTTAAGAAAAAAAAAATACTAGACATCAGGTCTCATTGTTTCTCTGGTTTATATCTTAGTTGTGGCAAAGATATGAATAAAATAGTCACTTGGTAAAATCAAAGAAATAAACAAATTCATCTGTATGACAACATAAGTGATGTTGTCCCATTATGATTAAATATAAGAATTAGTAACTGAACTCAATTACTGTCTAGATACTGTTAGTTCTAGGGAATAAGGCAAACAGAGTCAAGGAAGTACATGCATGAAACTTGAAGTGCAAATAGCACCAATAATAAGAATAGTTAGATGGTGATATATAGATACATAGATGCTATAGTTTACTTTACATTTTTCTATACCAATGAAATCTTTCCTAATTAAAAATATTAGCAATTGATTACCTGAGAACATAGTTCATTTATTGAAACCTTAGAAAAGCATAAAAAATCTGCAAATATTAAAAATGGTGGCATTGGAACCAGCAGATGGCATAATGGTTAAGTCTCTGGACTCCCACATAGTCGACCACAGTTCAAGTCTTGGACCTGGAGGCTTAAAACTCATGCTGGGCATGTATGCAAGCGTGCCCAAAATACTGAGAGGACAATGGAAGAGAAGGGATTGCACTGTGGCCATCCCCCCCGGGGGGTGATTTCTCACTTTCTGTCTTTTTGTCTCTCTGGTGAGCACATGCACCCTAAAGCAAAAAAAAAAAAAAAAAAAAAAGAATGGTGGCATCAGTGAATAACCTATTAAAGCCAGACATGTGTCATGGAATTGACTAACAGACAGATAATAAATCAGCTTACCTGATTTCAATGGTAATAGCTACTGTCATGCGCATACATATGCAAATTATTAAGGAAATAATTTCTTTTCTTTGAATATTTCTTAGTTAACACACTATTGTTTCAAAAATAAATTCAATATTCACTCACCAGAACTTTCCATGAAATCAGTTCCATTGGCTGTTATGGGTGGCACACAAATATTTGTGATTTCCTGTAAACCATGTTCAAAAAATAAATGAAACAAACCAGATTTCTGATACAGTTGCTTTCTAAATGATAACATTACAAAAAAGACCACATTCTTGTAGAAGTAACCAGTTTTTATGATTTGTTATGTGAAGAGCTACAATTCTGCAAGTCCATTAATTTCAGCACTCTGAAACAGAGGGACAATAAATCTTTTTTTTTGAAGAGGTTTTGGCCTTAGGGCATGTGAACTGCAGGAGAGGAGAGATAGCCACAGTGAGAAGGAAAGTGAGAAATCAGCCTCCAGGGGAAACGACCACACCACAGTCCCTTCTACCGCATTCCCCTCTCGGGATCTTGGGCACACACGAGCATGCGACTGGAGTGATTTCAAAGCCACTGGATATGGGACTGGAAACACAGTCAGCCATGTGGGAGTCCAGCAACATAACTGCTATGTCATCTGCTGGTCCTAAAAAATCTTTTACTTTTATATCTCCCACCCCTTTTCCTATCTCAGAATGAATCAAAATTTTTCTCTATAGGATTGAAATAAATATTTCACAAACTGGAGTCTCACCTTGTCTTCAGGTTGAGCCCCTTCAATTCCCCACTGATGAATTGTTCCTTCTGAACCATCAGGAACTGGGATAAAACCACCTGTCACACCACCAATAGGACCTGCCCCACAGTCACAGGTGAGCAGCAGAAGGGGCGCCACTGACAACAAATGAAACAAAGTATCAGAACTCTTGAATCACTTGGAAACTCTTTGATATGGCAGTGGTCAGAAATGTTACAAGAAAAATACAGTGTTTTAAATACTTACAGGAACATTTCTAGTGAAAAGCAAAATTAGTTTGTACAAAATAAAATGAAGTAAATTAAGCACATAAAATTACATGTGATTATGAAACTGAAGGAGATATCAGATCAGCTCTCGTCATGTGTGCTGTTATCCTAAAATGGGAACTGTTTGGCTGGCCCCATGGCCTAGTGGTTAAGGGAGCCAGAACATGCATGGCCAGCCACTCAGTTTCAATCCTGGCATGGGTTGCTTTAAAATCATGCCAGGTACACATGTACAAAGTGCCAAAGACACGACAGGATGGTGAGATGAAGAAGGGATTGTGCAATGCCTGCACCCCATAGGAGCATGCTTTCTTCTCCTCCCTCTCTGTCTCTCCGGCAAAGGCACTTGCCCTTGGGCACTGTTTGATGAATAGTAAAAGTGGCTATTTGTCTTCTCAGTCCTTTCTCCTAAAATAGTTTTATGATTGTAGCATTTGTTTTTACACATTGAATCTATGTACATTGTGTCGAGTGAATACTCAGTTGACTATATACCTGGTAAGTCAGGGTTTTAGGTGGGCATGATAATGTTCTAGTACTCTGACCTCTAATCATCTCTTAGTAAACAAAAATTAAGTAGCAAGCTCTTAGCAACTAAGAAGATGGCCTAGTACATGGCTATCAATGAATGCTTAATTGTGCCTTGAGAATTCCTAGCTTGGAGGACCCTCCCTGCCAGTGTGTCGTTTCTGTGCTGGTCTTGGTAATAATAAACAGTAACACTGTTCTCGTGTTAACTGACAAGAGAGAGCCAGTCATTCGTAGATGGTGCCTTCTAAGTGCCCTCTCAGGATGGAAGTGGCTACACAGGCTCACTGAAGCCTCTTTCAGAAGGGCACTCATCCTATTTATGAGGGTGGAGCCCTAATGACTAATCACCTTCCAAAGTTTCCATCTCTCTCTCTTTAAAATTCACAATAGAGTGTGCATGAGATAGAGAGAGAGATAGAGTGAGAGAGACATAGAGAGAGGCCATCCACACGGTCTGGTCCACATAACCTTGGGCACTCAGCGTGTGCCCAGTTGTTCAGACTACTGGCCAGAGATTTGAACTGCTGTCTCCATGTGAGACTCAGTTTTTCTGGAGTAGCACAGTACTGCAATGCCACAGAGCTTGCCCACCCCATCTCTTAACGATTTCATTGGGAATAAGTTTCAATGAGTTAATTTTGGAGGGACACACACTTTGGACCTTAGCAAATAGTTTCTGAGTCCTGTCCACGGGCTACTGCAGTGTCTTGCACATTTATCCTTCCTTTTTGATTTTATGTCAGGGCTCTAAATTTGGCCTCCATCCTCTCTTCTAAACGATTACAGTAACTTCCTAACTATTCCTTACTTTCTGATTTACAGTATACACTGTTGCCAGAGTTACCATTTTGGTAAACAAATATAATCATACCAGTCTATCATTCAAATAGCTTTGGCCACTCCCCCTTCTCAGAGCTTAAAGTACAAACACCGTGGTGTGTGCATGTAAAGCCCTTTCAAATCAGTCCCAACTCATTCTCTGTTTTGTCTCTTTTCCTCTTTACATTTTCTTCATGTTTTGGCTTCCCAGGGCTAGGTGATTTCTAAAACATGACAGGAAATTTTTCTTGTTTTGGCTCATGCTGTCACTTTTTGGAAACACTTTTTCCATTTTTAAGCCTTATACTATCTTACTCAGTTTTCCAAGGCTCAATAGGATGAGTCCTTTATTTTATGGAGAGTTTTCTGTAATGCTCTTTTATAGTCTTTTTTACCATCACTAAGTCATGGTATAATTTTTTCCATTTAGCTGGATGTGCATAATTCTGTGAACTGCATGCAAATCAGAATCAATTTTCCTTTTCTTTCACCTGGAAGCTAACATAGTGACTCACATATAAGTACTTAAGAAATCTTTGTTGTTGGAGTTGACTAATATGATATGGAAAAATGGAACCTCTGCGTATCAGTTTTGGCTATTAAACTAAATGATGCATGATGACATCAGAATAGCAAACGCTTTAGGGGAAGAAGGAAGGAAAAATATGGTCAGTGTCAAAGACCACTAGCTGTATCGATAGCAATTTCTCTGTTTTAGAAAATAGACAAAGAATATGGCAACAGATGATTATCTGCTAAATTGGAGTGATGGTGATATATGTGTTTGCCTTGTAATTTTCTGCCTCTTTTTGTGATTTTAAAATATTTCATAAATAAAAAAAACCAAATGAGTGAAGGGATTGAAGTGAAACTGATCATCATGAGAATTAATTTTAACTTTAAAGTCTATAATTTATTCATTAGGAAAGTGATTGTGAATTTATCAAGGATTTTTCTGATTTATATGAGACTTTTCCATGAAATTCTTTTAGATAGAGATCTTTTATAGTGAAAATATATTCGATTCATGAGACCAATTCAAATATTAAAAAATAATTCCTGTGTATAGTTTCCCTAAATATGTTCAGTAAACAGTTATATGAAGTGTGAGAATCTTAAACGGAATCTGTTTTCAGGTGGTAAGTTATTTTGAGGAAATGCTAGATTACAACTGCTCAGAGGCTCCTTCATATTAATGTGCAGTGCAAACTCAAAACCTGTAATGTCATTTATGTTTCCCCTAAGTTTCTTCAACTAGAATTCTCTTTTTAGTTTGGAGAAGATACCTTAGAACGTGCCACATTCATGGATGAAGCCATAATTTTGACCACAAACATTAATAGCAGAGAGTCTTTGTGATTTATTTTTTGCTCTCTGGAGACACTTGTACTGTTTTCCAAATGTCTGATGATAGGATCTGCTTTGTTGTATTAATTTAGACTGTTAGCAAGCAACAAGTTCAACATTTCAGATTCTTCTAGAAAATGCCATTATACCCTAGCTTTGCCTATACTATAGAGTATGATTCTTCCCACACTGCACAGGTAATCACTTCAGTAGGAAGGCCTTTGTAAAAGATGACACCCCTCAAACACAGAATGAAGGACTGGCATACTCACACAGAAGCAGCAGCAGGCCGAGGATGAGTAGGCCGATGGCGTTAGGCCCTAACCTGCCCGAGGGCCGCTTTCCATAGTTCTTTGTAGGATCTCTATTTGTGTCAGAAGTAGCTCTGCAGGCATCCCTGTCGTCACACTGACAAACGTCTAGAATCAAGCTCTCAGGTGTCTCACACTGCCTTCCCTGACTGTCCGTATACATGAGGGAGATTCTGTATACTCCAGGGGATAATTGCTGCTGGGCTCTCAGGAGTGCTGAGGTAGCTGTAGGAAAATGATCATACGAATCAGTCATAGGACAAGTGTCTTTGCTTTTAAAACTACTTACTTTTGTTAGCTGAGATAGAGTGGCATAGAGATCACTGTCGCAAATAGTGGGGTGATAGCAGAGTTTGGCAGGGATAAAGACTCCATAAGGTTCCACTGGGTCAGTCTACCTGTACCTGCCTTCGTGCCCTTGTCGCTGCTCCAAATGGGCCCATTAGTTCCTCCCGTGAAACTCAGTCTTACTTAGATTCAACAAAGGGGTAGGAGGTGGCCATCATTTAAATATTAGACACCCCTCTCCTGAGGCTTAACCACCCTCCTATATGTCCGCACCACTCCTTGGACGTAGGTGACCCTCTGAGTGTATGCCTTCCCCTTAACTCTGTGTTCTTGTGTCTGGCTTATCAAGACTGAGTTTCAGCTTTGGCTGCGGCTACCTCCACTGCTCCTCTCAGTTCTTACCCCAGGACCTGAAGGCCTTTTGTATTCCCTTGTGGTGACGGTCTGTTGCATATCTGACTCTTAAACCTGATTGTTCCACATTCTTCATGGTGAAATTGACCCCTTCTGTGTGGAATCCCACAGAAGTGTTGTGCCCTTTGAATTTCTCTTGCTCCACTACACCCTTTCACGTTGTGCTTTGCCCACCTGGTCTAGCCACCCTTGCCATGCCCTGCCTCACCTGAGCGGGTTTCTAATGCTGAGGTCTGGCCCTCTTAACTTTTTTTTTTTTTTTTTTTTTTTTTTTTTTTAGCAACCTCTTCATTGGCCTTGTATCTGGCAAACACATTTGGAGTCAAATGCTACATGCACACTGTATGAGTGAATCAGGACAAGTCCATTTTGAAGGACTAACTCCATTTTGGGCCCCTCCATTCTTCCCTGCCCATGCTATGCCCTCACTGATGCAGCTGGTCTTTGGAAAACAAAATGAATGATTTCAAGAACCTAAGGACAATCACTTCCCCAAACCAGGTACTGTTTTAACTCCTTTGCTTGCCCTTTAAAAATGCCAACTTGCTTCAAGATGGTGCAGAGTACAATTACAGATGCTTCTTGGTTGCTGTTGGCCTGACCCTTCCAGTTAATAAACTCTTAAGTGCCCCATGGAGTTTCTTGCTTTTTTTTTTTTTTTTTTTTTTTTCCTGTCTCTAAGTTCCTTCTCAGTTTGGAGGGGCCACTGAAATGTTGTTCCTGTTCTGTATCACGTGGTTTTGAGCTAGATCTATCTAACTGGATTGAAAAGGCCAAAAAGAAGAAGGCTATGGAGGACAAAATCCTGTTGGTGACTCTGGTATTGGCTCATGCCTATGACTGAAGGGCACAGAGGAATGAATTCACGAATGGAAGCACGATGGTTTAGTAAACAGGTAGAGAAAGGGAGTTGGTTTACAAAGGATTTGAAGTAGCTCGATAGTAACTATGAAATCTGGGAAGTGAGACTTTTATTGTCTATTATTGGTTTCTATGAGATTTTTGGAAAACATGGAAAATTCTCATGACAAAGATGAAGAAAAAAGAATGATGGGTTAGCCCTTTCCTATTGACTAATGGGTTTACAATGTCCAGCCCAACGTACTTTCAAGGTTCCTGAGTAGTGACAAAGTGACACTTCCTCTGGGCCTTGAGCATGCCCTATTAGGAAATGTTTATGGACTGATAAGTCTAGACAGCTCTGTGATAGATGTCCAACTCTAATCTTCTTTAGTGCATGGCGAAGGTAGAAATAAACATAAAAAATATAAAAGTATTCAAGAAAGCCAGACAGTAAAATTAGAAATATTAAATGGTACGAACACTATATCCGATCATTCCTTTTTTCTTTTAAAGAGAGAAGGAATTCACAAGGCTAGGATCCCATCTTTATTGCAAAGAATTTTTTCAATGATTCTTGGTAAGGACCTTTTCTCAAATGAGGTCTCTTGTTCTGGAACTATAAAGAAGCAGCAATTTTTACCTATGAAAACAGCTTTACTCTTACTCACCGTTGAGTGATGTGACACTCCACATAACTGGCAACTTTAGAGGTTGTTGCTCCAGTGAAAATGTGTAGGGGCCAGAGTATTTATCCCCGTCCAGTGTTCTGATGGAGACGACCACAGAAGGTGATGGACTACACGCTGTTTTCTTTTCAAGGAAAACAGCTGGACAATTTTCATTAAAATTGGGTACTTTAACATATATCGTACCTGTAGAAGTTTTACCCGTAGTTTCTGTAAGAACAACATTTCATGTTAAAGAAACACACAAAGATGAATGAAAAAAATTTTTCAAAGTTACTATGTCTTTTTTATTTAATTTTTTTAATTTTGAGAAAATACTATGTTTTCTTATGAGAAACTCTAGTTCTTATTCTTGGAAGTAAAATGACATCATTGTATTTCTGCATCTTATAAAAAGCAAATTAAAATTTGCCAAATTGGTATCTACAATTAGTAGCATGGATTATTGATTTAATATGTTAAGAACCAAGATGCATAAGGTAATGAGTTTGCTGATTTTAAATAAAATCAACACAAAAATAACAATTTTGTTCCATCTGTTGGTTTTATTTGTAATTAGGGTGTCAAGGATTTTTATTTCTAAAGCTTTGTGCCAAAGTGAATATTTCAAAATGAATATTTAGTTTTATTACTCAGGATATAAAATTTATTGAAGAAAATTAAAAATGCTGACAAATACAAAATGAAAAAATCTCTTGGTGATGGGATTATGAGTCATTTTTATTGTTACAGTAATTATTTCTTATTTTTATTTTTTGCTAGAAGGCACATGTGCTTGCCAGAGAGAGAAAGCTCCCTATCAGGGATGGTCACGCCACAGTACCGTCTTCTCTATTTCTTCTTCCTTTGGGGGTTTAGGGATATATGCACACACGGGTGGTATGTTTTTAAAGCCACTGGATTCAGGAATTGACCCACCCTAGCAACAGTGTGGGATCTAGTTGCCTTAACCACCAGTCCATGGAACTGGCCCATACACTTAGTTCTTTTTGTTGTTTTTCCCAAATAATATTTTGGTGTTTATTTATTGGAATTTGTCTATTGTCTAAAGCATACGTTAATTTTATACTTGGGATAACACTCACAATGAATAGAATTGCTATTATTATTTAAGCTTATTTCTTACCTTATAGGTAAGAGCAATAGAGATAGCACCCCCTATAGGGTTTCACATTGCAATACACCCCCAGCTCAGCCTGCCAGTATCATCCACACACAAACATGTGCCTGGCATCCACAGGGAGACCTGGGAATGTGAACCCAGGCCCTTTTCATGTGGCCTCAGCATCATGGGACATTGTGTTACCGCTATGCCATCATAACTGGCCTTGCTGTTCCTTTAAAATGCTGAAGAACAGGAAATTTGATTGTTCAATGTATAAGTGCCCGGAGTTTCTATCAGTAACTCACAAAGGTACCTCACATTCTAGTTTAGCTTCCCTGATAAGCTTTCTCTACAAAGCTTTTCTCATTCTCTCAAACCCCAAAATTTCTACTGGTCAAAAATTCCTGCCTCAACCACAGCAAACCATGAGGACTGTACACAGAATTCACTGGAACTACCAACCCCACTGAGAAGTTAAAACTTTGTCTTCTCTCCTGGATTCAGCTGCCTCAGACATGAAACCTTAGCACCTAACAAGATCCAGTTTATCTAGTGGTAAAGGTAACATGTTAAATAATTACAATCACTTATGCATAAATAAATACCAATTGGAATAGCAGTTGTCTAGAAAGGATTGAAATATTTTTCTTACCATCTATGGCCAGAACTTCAGCTGTGATTGTTTTGTTAACTATAAAAGTAGAATCCCGATCAATATTTCTAACAAATTTGATTTGAGCAGTTTTTGAATCAATGGTTAACAAACCACCATCGTTACGTCCCATGAAGTATCTGTTTTATGATAGGAAAAAAAATAATAGTTGTCTTTTAAATATGGAACGTTGTATTTAATGAAAATGACTCATTTACATTTAATATACTTAAGCTTAATATAAGACATTGAAATGTTTTTATAAAAAGTGGCAGAAAATTAGCACAGCATTGACAAGTCTTATTTCATTATCCTTATGTATTTAGTGAGGGGGTCTTCAAAAAGTTCATGGAAATGCATATTCTGAAAAATGCTACATGGCTTAAATTTTTTTTTTTTTTTTTTTTTTTGCACACAAACTTGTACTTTAATTTCATTTTCTAGGAACTTTTTGAAGTCTCCTCATACATATTAGTCTCATATGTTAATTTTCTCCTCTGGGTAATATAAAATGAAATACCTGTGTCCTTGTTCTTTTATAATACAGCCGTTACTTGGCATGCTGCTCTTATATTTTAGGCATGTATGTTTTCATATGTGCTATTTTATCTGATTTAAACATGGTCTTCTGGTGAACGTATATTCTTTTGTAAGAGTCAACTGGAAGTTACCATGAAATTATTCCTGATCTCTCTTGACAGACTAAGGGCTTCTTCTCTTACTTCCTACTTTAACATATGCTTATGTTTCCTTCCCTTATCGAATAATATAATCTAATTATTTAGCTGTATTTCTTTTTGAGTCATCTAGTTCCTTGTCTTTGTCACCTTTGTTTAACTATAGTTGGCACATAATTGTCTTATGTGCCAGGTTATAATAGCTTATAGATTAAAACTACATCAGGGAATAATAAGAGCCATAAAAATAGTCTTACTTGACTTTTGTAGCAGCTTTGCCAGTGTCTTCATCGATGGCTTCATAAGTTCCCAAGATATAATCAATTAATTTTTTACTACTTATGCCTTTTTGTACAGTGAATATCTTGGAAGTAGGATAGAATGCAATTCCTTCTTTCACATTTATCACTTGAATTATTACTGGAGTTGGCTGAACTCGATATCGAGAGATTACGGACTGATGAAATTCGGCTTTGTTTTTGACAGCAATACTAAATTGCACATTTTGTAGTTGTTCATAATCTAGAGCCTAGAGTAAAGATAAAATTAGGAGGAAAGGATGTGTTAGAAAAATATGGTCTGGCAAACCCAGTAGAGGACAAAAGAACTCGGTATGTTGTAAATGGACCCTTTTATTTCAAATAGAAAACAGAAATTGTTTCAGAAATTAAAGTGATGTTGAGATAGAGAAAGCTTTAGGAATCTTAATTTATGAGACCACTGATTTTTTTTTTTTAGAGTTTTTTTTGCCATAGGTCACGTGCGCTGGTTAGAGAGATTCAGAAACAGTGAGATAGAAAGTAAGAAAGCAGTCCCCCGCCCCCAGAAGGCTGACCATGTCACAATCTGTTCTCCTCTCTTCTCCTCCTGGGATCTTGAGTGCTCACACACATGCACTGGGAGTGAGTTTAAAGCCACCAAGTCTGGGATTTGAACCACAATTGACTATGTGGGAGTTCAGCGAAGTAATGGCTATACCATCTGCTGGCCCATGGTAACTGATATTTATAAAACGGGATCTTTCAGGTAAGAAAAATATTACAGTTTCTTTGGGCTGTGAGGTACAGTGGAAAAAATCCCAAATTTGCTGTAGTAACATGATTCTACTTCTGGTAGCCTGGTTCTACTACTTAATAGCTGTGTAACACAAGGCACAATATTCAATTTCTCTGGCTATCGACTTTTCACTTCTCTGGCCATCGACTTTCCACTTCTGAAAACAAAAACCTTACCTCATCAGGTTGTAGTGAGAACTGAACAAATTAAGGCTCATAATACATTCTTCAAAATGGCAGTATTCATTATTTGTTCTAGTCTATACCATATTCAGGCAGAAGTAACATCACATTATTCCACATGAGGTGTTTATAGTAGCAAAACATGATAAGTGGAAACATATACATTTATTTATTTATTTTTAATTGAGCAGATTTTGCTCTTTCATTCCTATTTTCTAGGAAAAGTTGTATTTTTTTCTCTGTTAATTATAGTTAATCCATTTGAAACAAGTACTTTTCAAACCACAATTTCTTATATTCTCATCTCTTCCTAACTTCGATCCAACTGTAGGTAGTGAATGAAATTGTCAAGAAATGTGCTTTGCTCTTTTTGTGCTTAAGGCATGCACACCTACAAACGTGTGTATAATTTGTATGTTTGTGATTACTATAAAATATGTAATATTGTGGAAGAAAATGACCCAACATTTTAAGATAGACTATTTTTAGGTTACAGAGCTATGGGATTAATAAAGTCCTATTTTTATGTGTTTTCTATAATCAAGTGGTATTATTGTTATTAATAATAAATGAAAAAGTTCATAGAAATGTTAGTTTTGGTTAATATAACATTTTTTTTCTTTTTTTTTTTAAAACTAGTGAAGGGAAATCAAACCTTACCTTAACCACCTTCAGGATGCCTTCATTAGTTCTGGGGTCGGTCTCTATTTCAAACCAATTCCCTTCATTCCCAGAGGTAAAGTAATACACAGCCAGCCAATTATCTGTGTATTCTTCATCCCAATCTATTACTTGAAATCTAAGTAACTCAGAATTTAAAGTGTTTTCTTTAATCTGTGCTGAATACTGAAAAGGAGAAAAACAGAGTTTAAAATTCAATGCCAGATTTTACCTAAAGGAATTTCTTTAAAACTTTTTGTGTATTTATTATTATTTATTATTTATACATTCAATCGCTATACATCATTTAGATCATAAAGAAACTTTACTCAGCATGATATATACCTCAGTCCAGCACAGTTGGAAATATTATACACATCATCATCAAAAGGTAATAAACTATATCCGTGTTCCACAAAGATCTTACCTCTCTATTTTTCCTCCCAAATTTCCTTTCCTACACTCTTCCCTTCTCCCACTCTCCTTCTACTTTGTCCTTGTGTCTATACTGATTTTTAATGCTTTTATATCTTATAGTCTTTCAGTCTCTACCATAGAGTACAGACAGTTGGTATATGTTAAGTGGAGACATACAATGTCTCTGTTTCATAGCCTGATTTGCTTCACTCAGCAATAAGTCTTCCATATTCATCCACTTTTTATCAAATACCAGGGTCTTGTTGTTTTTTTATGGCTGAATAGTATTCCATGGAGGATATGTGCCACATTTTTTCAATCCATTCATCTGTTTGTAGACATTTGGATTGGTTCCATGTTATGATTGTGAATAATGCTGCAATAAATATAGTTGTGCAAGCACTTTTCCAACTGAGCATTCTCCTGTCCTTTGGGTAGATACCCAGGACTGGAATTGCTGAGTTCTATTTGAAGGACTTTGAGGAACCTTCATATCATTCTCCACAGAATTTTATTTATCCTAAATGGTATACCTTCTTGCTGGCCACTAAATTCTTATATTGCTTAAGAAATTTTTCTTTTTTTTGGAGAGGTTTTTGCTATAAGGCATGCGTGCTTGGCAGAAAGACAGAGAGAGACAGAGAGACAGAAAGCAAGAAATCACCCCCCAGGGGGGATTGACCATGCTGCAATTCCTTCTGCTCCATTCTCCTCTCGGGATCTTGGGCACGCATGCACCTGCACCTGGCGTGAGTTTAAGCCACCGGGTCCAGGACTCAAACCACGGTTGAGTACATGGGAGTCTAGTGACATAGCCATTATGCCAACTACTGGTCCCAAGACACTTATTTTTAAAGAAAAGTGTAGAGATCTTAAAAGCCAACAAATAGGAAAATACCAAATTGTGATGATGATGTATTACTAAATATATGTAAAAACAATCCTGCAAAAAGCAGTGGGTATACCTGAGATTCTTTAAGCATTGGGAAGTTATCATTGACATCTTTTATTTTAATGTTACATTCACATTGTGTCGATAATCCTTCTCCATCTTGGTCTGCACCACGCACAACAAGACGGTAGCTGCTGACTTGCTAAATGTAGAGAAAAAAAGTGTTAATTTTCTGAGAATATGAATGGCAACTACAGATAAGAAGGTGAAGATATTTAGTTTTCTGGTTTGTTGCCTGCAAGGATCATATGCACTATTAGCTGTCCATCATGTAGGAGGTTTGTGGGGTGGGTGGCTGGAAATCTTTAAGGGGCTAGGACAGGTTTTCTCTCATGAGATTTTTTTGGTAAGGAAATATACTTAGAGAAAAGATGGACAATGAGTATGGTGGGATAATAAGCTCACTATGGAGCTTTCCTGTCAGCATAGTAGGAACATCCATTTGTACAAAAAATAATATGGAGTCCGACAGGGTAGCTTGTGGTGATGGAGACAGATGGTGGTGGTGGTGATGGGGAAAGAGAGGAAGGGGGTTCTTTAGTGTTCAGGAAGCAGGAATAAAAAATTAAAAGAAGTCAGGGGGAAAAATGTGATGACAAAGGTTTTAATCCAAATAAAGATTTCTCCTTTTGGCTAAAAACTGTCCTTTTCCTCCATCATATGAGAAATTCATTACAGCTCCGTCTTTCTCTGTGTATTCCAAAGCCTTCTTTTCCTCCCCCATTTTATGTTCCCCCAGTTTGTTTGGGGTGCACATTCTTGTATAGGTCTCAGGTCCCACCCTACCACATTTACACCAGAGAAGGCAGACAGAGTCCTTAGATTGGCCCAGTGGAATACTAGAGACTTCTTTTCCTTTCTCCTTTAATCTTGGCTGAAAAGGAGTCACCTCTCTTGGGTTTCTTATGCCCAAACCCTTGACAATTGAAAGCTCCCACCTCCCTTGTTGTACCTCTCGATCAAGAGAATTGGTCAAAGTACGGACTTCCCCAGTGTTTCTGCTTAGGAGGAACATAGGTGTGCCTGCAGGTTCCTGGGAGACAATTTTGAAGGCGATTTTAGAATTTAGATGGTTTGGTTCATCTGCGTCTGTGGCATTTAGTATTATCACCAGTGTGTCTAGGGATATAGGAAAATGCTTATTAATGAATATGTAAAAATTGACATGCTCGCCTTAAATGTTTGATACAATTTCATATTGATTCTTATTTTGTAATATCTTAAAATTATTTATATGCTCAAAAAAAGTGACACGTCACTTTTGATAGCTCTTTCTTTCTCTCTCAGCTAGGTAGGCAGAATTGTGCTGCCTTCAATAAAAATCCTCTAGTCCTTCCCAAGGTGGCCTTGTTGAGATTGAAGCTATTTTCTGTCTTTATGTCTTTCCTTCATGAATAGTCTAATAATTTTCCTATCCCCCAAATTACACAAGTAATGTGTCTTTGTTCCTTATATCCTAAAAAAACCCAGCAATGCACCCAGCCTAACTGAGGCAGCCTTTTTAACTTTGTGAGCCTCAATACTCAAGTAAATTGTACATATACAGTAAGATATTGTTGCCCTGATAACAGGACTATAACCTACAAAGACAATAGTAGTGAATAATTAACTCATCTACACATTTTAAAAGACCCATATTACCTTGATTAATTCTTTTTTCCAAAACTACAGATGAAGCTGAGGATTAATGATAAGAATATACTGCATTGACACTTGTATTTGAAAATAAATTGGATGTGTTAGGTATTGTAAAAGACTTACTTGAAGCACTGTTTTCTTCAATTTCACCCATAAATATGCTTTGTGAAAATACTGGAGCATTATCATTCACATCTAAAATTTTGACTGTTAATATAAGTGGTTTTTCTACATCTTGTCCTAGGAAATTTAAAGCCCGACATGTGATCTAGAAACAGGGAAGAAAATGTTGATCACTACTTTAAACTTAGTATACATAGGATTTAAACTTGTAGGAAGAAGGCCTCTTAGCATACACAGAGCTTTTGTGCAAACAAAGAGGAAATATCCAGCAGGGGGTAGATGAAGTGGAAACAGCCCACTCTGGGCAGACTGCCTGGGCAAGTTGCCCCGCCCCCTCCAGGCCCATGCTGTGTCATGGCAGAGGGAAGCCCTTGGAATGCTGAGTGCTGGATTTTGGCCCTCGCTCATTCCCCTCTGTTGTATTCCTTCAGGTGCACAAACTCTAAGGGGAGGCTATTTTTTGGAGGGCCTAATATTATATGTCAGTAGATTGATTCATGTACTAATTTTGCTTATAAATTCACCAGTGGAAGAGAATTACTCTATAAAGTCCTAGTATGCAGGAAAATGGGGCTCCAATGCAGTGGACATAACCTACCAGGAAACTTGGCGTTTCCTCTCGATCCACTATGGCTGTTATGTTAATATCTCCAGTGTTTCGGTCAACAACAAAGATTCCAAAAGGAGGCTGATCAATTCCTACCCCAGAAATTCGGTAAGTAATTTTCTGGGTAGCCTGGAAATCAGAAGTAATCTGCAGGCAAAAATATTCAGAACGTTAGTCAACACTGCCCAGACCTTTTCCTCTCTATTTCCGCCCCCCCCCATTCATCATCCAAAATCATCTGTTTGACTCATTCTTCCTGACACTATGCTATTTCATTTTTGCCTTTATATATACTAGGAATGTGAAACAAAGTCACTTTCGTTGCTTCCACGGACTGTTCTGGACCTGTGCTAATATCTTTTATGCTAATAGCTAATCGAAACCTACGTTTGGCTTTACAGTATTTTCTCAAATATGCCCATCAAGGTGATTGCTAAAACACTGAAAGTCAAGAGTGCTTAGTATTGAAAAGGCTACCTAAAAATGCTCTCTCTTTACTTGACCACATTAAGAAAAAAAGGCATTTATTTTATTTTAAATAGGGATAAAAGAAGAGGGAAAAAGAAGGGTAGGTTGTTAAGATGCATAGAAATAAATTACTTCTTATTATAATTTAAAGCTTTTTAGTAGAAGGAAAACTCCAATTCATATATGGTTAGGATGATATAATGAACCAGATGTATCTCATCACCCACCTTCAGCAATGATCAATAAATGGCCAGTCTAATGTTTACATCCAACCATTTTTCTAATGGTTTTACCTATGTGTTTATTTTTTCTATTTGTTACAATCTAGATCCAAATAAGGCTTATACAGTAATATTGGTATATACACACATATATATTTAAGTTTTTTGCCATATGGTACATGAAACAGAAAAAAATATTGAGAGGGAAAGTGAGAAATCATCTCCAGCCCCCAGCACGTATGTCCACATTGCAATCCCTTCTCCATTTTCCTCTTGGGGTTTTGGGCACACATGCACTTGCCTGGCATGATTTTCAAGCTGCCAGGTCTGGGACTTGAACTGTGGTCAGCCATGCAGGAGTCCAGCACCTTAACCACTATGTCACATTCTGGTCTGATCAATATCTTTTAATGCTTTTTTGTTACTCTAGAAGCTATTGTTCCTATATCCCTCTCTGTCTTTTATTATGATGATGATTATTATAATTACTATTACTGATTTTTTTGTTGAATATTTCAGTTTGTTTGTTCTGTGAACTTCCCAGTCTGCATTTTGCTAATCAGAATTGCAATATTATTTTAATTTACATCTTACACATTATTCTAAAAATTCACATTGCCCCTGCCAACATGCCTCACCTTGGCAATTGGGTTTCTCTTTGAGTTGTCTGCAGGGTTTTGCAAATTTCACCCATTCACGTTTGTACCTTCTTTTGGTGTGTTGCACTGCTGTCACATCTTCTTCATGTTGTCCTCTTGTCTTGGGTCAAAAGGAGTCCATTTATTATGTACATTGTTGGCAATACTTTAAATATTGATTAGAGATACTAAAGTTGAGGTCTCCCTGTATTTCAAGATATCTAAGATATCTCACTGGCTCTAGCAGATGCTTTGTCAAGTAAGAGAGTACTGTTAAATAACTAAGACAGCTAAAAGTCTAAGTGATTTTTAGTTTTAGCATTTAATCATATTTTATATTTCGTTTATATACTCTACAATGTCTAATTGTTCTGGACATATAGGATTTGACCTGTTGATTTGTTTAAGAAGACAGAATACATGAGATAAACTATAAAAATGACATTTATAGATGACTAGTTTCTAAGTATTATTGGCTTCTTTGCTATAATTTTAATTTTATACATTTTGCAATTGAATTATCAAATGATTTTTAAACATCAACTCTTTCCAAAGAAAAATTTATGAAAATTAATTTTTTAATGCCAACTATTATTTTAATTACATAAAACTATACTTTACCTCTATTCGCAGTTCTCCATGAACCAATATGACCACCTGTAGGCATTTAAGTAAAATCAGTGTAAGTGTGAATCCTTCAAATAAGTAATTACATAAAGCTAATAATCATGATTAGAGTCTTCCGTTAGTCATGCTGTAAATTTGTTTCTATTTCAAAACAAGTAGGTTTGGAGAAGCAGTATTCAAGGGAGAAATTCCTACCAGGAAAAGGACTGTTGCTCCCAAACAAGCTCTTCCAGTTAATGAGACTGCAGAATTTTAATGATGTGCAGAAGAACTTGCTGGATTTTGCAAAACTATGCCTAACAGTTAGTCGCGGCTACCAGACAGTTCTTGGCTGTTCTCTGAACAGTTCCCAGAACTACGGAGTCACTGTTTTGTGAAACAATGGTAAGCACCGCTATAATAACCTTCAGAAAGTAGCCCAGGGGTTTATTAACAACCATCGCCTACCTACCCAACACTTGCGTGATGGCAATCGTGCATTACGTAACTGCGATTACAGCACAGGTTTCTTTAGCAGCATGAATGGAGAGAATAAAATGGGACTAAACTGGTTTGAAGAATGGAACACAGAAGAGAAAGATGTGATATTTAGTTGCACATATTGTTTGCTATGGGGCAGGAATCTGTTACTCTCTGCCTTATCACTTCAATTTGAATATTGAACTTAATTTTTGTGTGGGTAGAAGAAAATTAAGGAAGCTAAAATGAAGCCAGGCAGTCTAGGGTCTTCTCTGTCTCTAGAGTATAGGAGATCTTCACTGTTACCATTTTCCATCTTCTCTTCTACCTGGAATGTACTCCTCTTTCCACCCGTTTAAATATTAGTCATCCTTTAGGAACCATTCAAATTCCGACAACCTCCATGAATCTCTACTGAAATCTCCTTTTCTGAGTTTGCACAATGCACATTTCGTAGCATCCAATCTAGCTTTAAATCATGGACTATTTTGATTTATTATCATTATTATTTTTAGAGAGAGTTTTGTTATAGAGTGCATGTACTTGCTGGAAAGACAAAGAGAGACAGAGAGACAGAAAGAGAGAAATCACTCCCCAGGGAAGATGGCCCTGCTACCATCCCTTCTCCACCATACCTTCTCCTATGTTCTCCTCTCTGGATTCTGGGCACACATGTACATGTGCCCAGTGTGAGTTTTAACCTGCTGGTCTGGAACTCGAACTATGGTCAACTATGTGGGAGTCCAATGACGTAGCCATTACACTACCTGCTGGTCCTCTGATTTATTATTTTTATTTTGTTTAATACTTTAAAGTATTGTTTAATACATTGAAGAATTTCTGTGCTAAACTAAGAGTTGTAAACTTTTAAAATCAGTACTTGAATGTAATTTTCTTGTAGCCCTCACAGTACCTGTCTCTCAAGAGGTATTTAATCACTACTTGCTGATCCACTGACTATATGATCTGAAGAAAATCTGGTAAAAAAACTGTGGAAAATAAATCAGAACCGAACTAGACATCTAATAACAGTAGCTAACATTTACTACGTGGTTTCTGTGTCAGTCGATATTCATAGAGCTTTATATTTATTTTCTTACTTAATATTTATGGCAACCATCGGAAGGAGAATCTTATTATTCTAATCCCTGAGAGAATGAATACTTCATCCCAGCTAATAGCTCTAGTACAGCCAGGATTTGAACCTTGGTAGCCTCATTCCAGTGTGTGCACATCACCACTACAGTAGATTCTAACCAAAGCTGGCATAAAGAAATAGAAAAACAAATCAGTGAATAAGGAAGAAAGTTAGATGACAGATAATTGAGATTTCTATCTGAACAAAGGCCGTGGTTGCTTTTGAAACAGTGTGGCTGTGATACATTGCTTATTTTCTAAGAGTATAACAAGTGGGCAAGTTTAAGTCTGAACCAAAGGAGTAATGATATCAGATATAGGATGCCAGGATCCTTTCCATTCTAAACATTTCAACTGAAATCCTGATTTCAAAGAGCATATGCTCACATTGTCATGGAAAAGAACTGCTATATGTGGCTATAACACGTTTCAAAATGATTTTACAACATGGCTGCTCTTTACTAAGCAACGCCATGGGAAGAAAAGGCAGAGCAATGCAGTCATGGTACCACTCCTTCTCAGTTCCTAAGTACAACTCAGCTACACGTGAGGGGAGGGATGGGCCAACCATGTGCCTCTTTACAGGAAAGCTGGGGAGAGTCATTCAGAAAATATGAATCGTGTTTGTACTAGCTTGCAGAGACTGACACTTCTAATAAGACAGGAAGGTACAATTTCTGTTTTCCTGGGAAGAGAAGGAAGACCGAATTCTCAACTATGATGATTAACATTGTAGATGCTTGTTTCTTGCTTGTTGGATTTTCTCATAGAACCAGAGCCCTTAGTGGACTTATTCGGCTAAAATTTACTTTCCTGTCCTTCCTTTCAAAGTCAGGCCACCAAGAATGTTCTGTACTTTTAGAAAACATTGTGAAAATGTGCATTTTTTTAGGGCTTCTATGAATATGGGGTAGTTGATAACATTTTTGACTTTTATAATGTTTTTCAGATATTCAGAAATATAATCACAATCTTACATTTTTAGAACTATATTTTTAAAAATACAAGCTATTTTAATTCGTTAATACTTATATGATGGCCACTTGCTTTAGTTTGCTAACATAGTTATTTTAAATATTTTAAAATCAATTTAAATTAAATTAATTTTAATAAAATAAAAATGATATATATGACGCATGAGTGACTAGATTTTAAAAAATCATTTGTATAAATACCTGCTATTTCACTGAGCTTTTGCAATGTTTCACAGCTTTCTCTATATACTGAATTTTTTTTTTTTTTTTGGAGAGGTTTTTGCTATAGGGAGCGAGTGCTCTCCAGACAGACAGAGAGAGACAGAGAGACAGAAAGCGAGAAATCACTCCCCAGGGGGGATGGCCACCCTGCAATACCTTCTCCTCCATTCTCTTCTCGAGATCTTGGACACGCACGCACACGTGCCCGGCGTGAGTTTTAAGCCACCAGGTCCGGGACTCGAACCGTGGTCGAGTACGTGGGAGTCCAGCGATATAGCCATTACGTTAACTGCTGGTCCCTCTATATACTGAATTTTTAAATTTAAAATTTAAAAACCCCTAAAACATTTTAATAAGCTTTGCATTTATCAAGACAAATTCCTTAATTGAACAAAAATCATATAGGTCTAATTCTTTGATAATTAATTTTGGACAGTTCTATTTTTCATAACTGATTTTTATCATAAACTCAATTAATTTAGAAATTTAAACCTTGTATAATGATAGAAATGCTAAGAAAAACACCCTTGGATTTCTCAAATGCTTATTTAAAAAGATATAGGAGGTAGGATGCAGTCAAGTCTAGTAATTCAGTACTGGATATTGGAGGTGAATTTCTGAATTTAAACCCCAGTCCCAACTATGTGTTAGCATGTAACTAGGGAACATTACTTAATTTCTCAGTTTCCTCATCTGCAAAATAAGGACAATAACTTTATTGGTAGGTTTGTTATAAAGATTAAATTAGTTAATAGATATATAGGACACAGATAAGCCCTAATATTTAATAAAATATTAATTACTCTGTCACTTAAAAAAGGTGTAAAAAGGCCACTTTGGCTGATATGGAGTGACCTTTTACTATTATTTACTGTCAACACACATGCAAATTTTCTTTTTCTCAGCATCAGAAAGGGAAAATAGAGTGCACAATTGGGCAGGCTATTCCTTGCACAACTCCGGGGAGTACGGTAAACACTGTAGTTTATGTGAATATGCCTCCTGAAGTTGTGCAGCACAGTCTGGCCAGCTGCAAGCAGTTCTGCAAGAAAAATGTGCATACTGGACTGATTCAACGATCTAACGTGTAATTATACATAGTAACCAATTGTCTATGTAATTTTCTTGTGATGGACTTTAAAACACATCTCACCTTAGGCTACCAGACTGACTCTTTACTGGAAAGGAAGAGCCAAAGGCTAAGAGGTTTATGAGGAAACCTCATAAGCGCTGAGTATTCTAACTCTAGATGAAAACCGGTTTCAGGTATTAAGCAAGTGGTAGTGTTAATTAGTAGAAGTAATTACATCTTTCCTAGCTTCTGCTCAAGATAGGCGGGACTGGTGAGAGTCACATGGCAAGGTTATTTTGATTTTAGAACTCTAACTTTTGGAAAGGTGCAGCAGGAAATTTACCTTCATATATGTTATTAGCACTGAAAACTGAATTAACCAAGAGAAGAAAACGATACCTCAAAGATCTTATTATTGTTAAAAATTTGGTCCATTTAGCCTAAAATTCTTTTCCTAAAAGTCTGTTTTTTTGGATGTTCTACAGAAGAAGGTGGTTGAAGAAAGTTCTGCTGTACAGATACTCCTCACTTACAATGAGGTTATACTCTGATATACCCATTTTAAATTGCAGATATCACAAGTGGGCAATGCGTTTAATACACTTAACCCACTGAACAACATAACTTAGCCTACCCTACCTTAAATGTGAGCAGAACACTGACATTAACTTAACAGTTAGACAACATAATCCAAGCCAAAGCCTATTTTATAATGAAGTATTAAATATCTCAGGTAATTTATTGAATATTGGAAATGAAAAACAGAATGGCTGTGTAACTACTTGAAGTAGGGCTTATAAAGCCCATTGTGTTTCTTAAAGCATCCTTTTCTCACACATTGCTGCTTGATTCTTACTAAGGCCATGGGTGGGGTAGAGTCTTACTTGACAGTTAAGGAAACAAGCCCTGGAGTGAGTCAGGATACAGGTACGGATTCAGGTCTATGACTTTGCGGTTATATCTCACTTCTCTAAGCAACCCTTGTGTGGTCATGGGATGGTAGAATTACTTGAAAAGTTCTAAACACGTCTCCAAATTTCAGACCCCACCCTTCAACAACAAAGGCATGCCTTCTCACTTGACTGCTTTTGCACACATGGCTTTCCTCCCATAACCACGCTATTTCAAAATGCTGGGTGGCTCCTTTCTCAGAAGACTTCACTAGCCTTCATGTCATACTTCTCCCTTTTCAGCTCATGTCCAGATTCTCTATACCAATTGTCATCTGGTTAAACTGGCATGTCCATTGCTCCTAGGCAAATGCCATAAGTGCACCTGGTTTTGCTTATGTTGGTCAGACATGCAACCGAAGATATCTGTTAGGTTGTCGTGAAAGTCATGACATGTTCTTCTATGCAAAAATGCATCATGACTTTCCCGACAACCCAATATCTTTAACCCAACTACACTTATCAAAAAGCAGCTCAGATCTTAGCAAATCTGTGGTGCCTAATTTGCCTACTTTCTCTGGACACTGCTTTCCACTAATAGCATTAAGCATAGACGAGCACTACCCAATAAAAATGCTGTGAGATCACACAAATGTGAGTCATAGATATAATTTTATAACTTTTAGTGGTTATATGAAAAAAGTATTAAAAAGGTAAATTAATTTAACAGTATGTTCAATTTTTTTTGGAGAGATTTTTTTTTTTTGCTATAGGGTACGTACGCTTGCCAGACAGAGAGAGACAGAGAGACAGAAAGCGAGAAATCACCCCCCAGGGGGGATGGCCATGCCACAATCCCTTCTCCTCCATCCTCCTCTCGGGATCTTGGGGACGCACACACATGCGCCCGGTGTGAGTTTTAAGCCACCAGGTCCGGGATGCGAACCGCGGTCGACTACGTGGGAGTCCAGCGACATAGCTGTTATGCTAACTGCTGGTTCCCAACAGTATGTTCAATTTAATCTAACTTACCTAAGGTTCTATCATTTCAACGTGTAATCAACATAAAATTATTAATGACATATTTTACATTCTGTTGTTCATACTATTGATAAATTTGCAAAATAGGATGTATACATTTTATTTAACAGCACATCTCGATTCAGATGAATCACATTTCAAGTGGTTAATACCTCATGTGGTTAGTGGCTGTTATATTAGACAGTGTAAATGGAGACCACTCAGTTTAGCAGTTGTGTGTGAAGTTACATTGTTATTTAAAAGCGCCTGTGAGTGTGTGTGTGTGCATACACATGTAAATTTTCCTGAATGAGGAAAATGTCTGACATTTTATAGTTTGCTCCATGACTAGCATGGCTAGCATTAATGGGGCACTGGGAAGAGTTTTATAGTTCAGAGAGTCCTTATTCAATCATGCATTTATTCATTACTCAAACAAGTAGCTCTGCTGTAAGACACATATTATAGCAGGCATTGGGAATATAAGGATGAAAAAATAAAAGTCCTCAGTATAAGGATCTCACAGTCACTCTAGAATCAGAGGGGGTAATTGAGTGGTTTATAAGTCAAAGCAGCGAAAAGAGATCCCTCAGGCTGCGGTGGTTCAGTTCCATGTACTATAACAATACTTTTCCTGACACCCCCCTTCCCCTGGCCCCGCCTTATCACTCCTAGCTTTTAGCATATAGCCATTGCTTTGGACATAAGAGTTACTAGGCTATCTGTGTTTTAGTTCAGACATTTCCTCTCTGGAAAGGTGATGAAATCATGCAACTGTCACATCTCCTTTTATGACATTCTTCCCAAACCAATTCATTAGATAACCAAACAGTTATATTTTCATAATAGAAACAATTTTTACAAAGGTTTTCGTCATAGGTCATGTGCCTTCGCTAGAGAGAAACAGAGACAGAAAGAGGAAAAAGTGAGAATTCACCTTCTAGGGAGGATGGCCATGCTGCAATCCCTTCTCCTCTATTCTCCTCTCTGGATTTTGGGTACACATACATACCTGGGTAGATTCTCAAGCCACCCACTCTGGGACTCCCACTGCAGTTGACTATATGGGAGCCCAGCGCCTTAACCACCATGCCATCTGCTGCCCCCCATAGTAGAAACAGTTTTTAAGAAGGGTTGATACTGGTTTTCTTCTTGAATTTTGTCTTGAGAGGGAAGGTTGGATATTCTAGTTCCTAAGGTAGCCTAGCTAATGTTAGACTTTAGTTCCTAGAAAGTTCTTCCTTGAGCTATATCTCCCTGAAACTTAAGTTCATTTTTCTCAATTGTTTAGATGAGGAAATGAGGTAAAGTGAAGCCTAGGGCAAACCAGCTTGTCACTGACAATATAGAAATTAGCATTAGAATTTTTTGATATTCCTTTAAGATATATTTAAGTATTTTGATATCTTCAGGTAACTGATAATATTGCAATGTATCTTTTTCTTCATTGAAACGACACATTTAGGGTGTAAAATATAATGTATCCTCCCCACCCCCAGAGACTGGATATGTTTTGCACACAAGGGCTAAGCACCAACACTGTTTTCTTAATAATCCTTCCCACTTCTCTAGAGTCAAACAGTGCTTTGATTTGAATTCTATGGTCTTTGATTATTTAAAAACATGTCAGGCATCAAGACTGGGCATGTAGCATTTTAAGCCTTATACTTAAGAGACATGTAATCTTGGAAAATAAAAGTGGCTTTCTTTTATGTATTTTAGTTTGTGTGTTAGGAAAATGAAGAAGCATAACTTTCAAGAAAATGAAGGTGTTGTACAAAATATGATTCAAGGTTAAAATTTCTTTAATTCATTAACTAAAATAGTACTAACTGGTTACTTTAAAATTTCTGCCTTGTTTATTTTTCTAGTGTAATATACAATGTTAATAAAAACAACGAAAAGAGGAAATTGGCAATCTCTAATTTCATTAAAAAATATCTCCTTCCACTGCACTGTTATTAGAATTTATAATGGGGATTTAACACTCATAATATTCTCTAACAAAAAAGGAAACAGGGGAAGTCTGTGATTATTAGAAAAATACTGGACTTACCATGAAAATGGCCAGAGCCCCTGTGGCTCTGGGAAAGAGCCAAGACATTGCCTCTGCTTTCCCTCGTGAACAAATCCCAGCGAACTTCGGCTTCTGTCCTTCCAAGCAGTCCGCAGGTCTGTGAAGAGCCTTTCAGCAGTGTCTTGGTTCTTTCCCTGCAGTCTACTGGTGGTGGCCTGTTATGCGGTTCCTCCCCACCCTAAACCAGGGATTGGTCTCACCAGAAACGCTTGCATCACTTTTGCTCCCAGGTAAAAACTTAGGACACACCTCAATTCCTAAAGCAATGAAATCCTTTGTTGGAACCTGGAAGAAAAGTTCACAGGCTTAAGACAAAGTTTAATAGGAAGGTACCAGATGAATAATAAATTAATCATGATGTAGAAGTGCAGCAGTCAGCCCTGACCACACTGAAAAAGAATCTAGTTAGCTTCTTATGGTTCCAATTAAAACTGAAAAGCAAAACAAAACCAAAAATTCCCTAAAATCTAGCTTGTGAAAGACTGTTTATTTTCAGCCTGAGTATCTGTGATCTAAAGTTAAGAAAAATGTAGATATTAAGCAATAATATATTTTAATGAAAGGAAATACAAATACAAAGAAAAAAGATATCACAACCAACAATGATTAATACAGATTTTGAATAAAAAGAATTAGAAATAAATTGGGAATGAACACTTAGAAAGCAGTGGGATATTTGAAATATTAATACATAAATAATACATTGTAAAATCAGATCTCTGATAATACTTAGATGACATCTTTTCTATTGTATTACTTTTCACTTATAACTTTTTCAAAATGTAGATTACCAGGGAACCAGCAGTTAGCGTAATGGCTATGTTGCTGGACTCCCATGTAGTCGACCGCAGTTCGTGTCCCGGACCCAGTGGCTTAAAACTCACGCCGGGTGCGTGTGTGTGTGTGCCCAAGATCCCGAGAGGAGAATGGAGGAGAAGGGATTGCAGTGTGACCATCTCCCCTGGGGGGTGATTTCTCGCTTTCTGTCTCTATGTTTCTCTCTGTCTGTCTGGTGAGCCCACGCACCCTATAGCGAAAACCTCTCCAAAAATAAAAAAAATGTAGATTACCTGACCAGTCCATGGTATGGTGAAGACAACTGGATCCCGTAAGGCTGACCATGCAGTTGAGTCCTAGACATGACGACTTGAGAAGCACTCTGGACATGTGTGCATGTATGCCCAAAATCCTGAAAAGAAGGAAAGGTGGAGGAGAAGGGATTGTGGTTGACCATTCCCCATTAGGGGAGGAGGCTTTCTCACTCTCTCTCTCTGTGTCTTCATCTCTTTGGAGGGTGCATATTCCCTCTGGCAAATTAAAAACAAAAACAAAAACAATAACAAAATGATTTCCTAGTAAGCTTGGTTATCTCTGTGCTCTTTTAATTACTCACAACATTTCCCCTAGAGCAGTCTACTGGGTCACTGTTGCATGCCTACACATTTGGACTCTAACCCAAATTAGAGGATATGGAAAAAACTACCGTCACTATTTTAATTAGCTTGCTTTTTACACTAGAGTTAAAAACACTTTTAAAGGCTCCAAATAGCCAACAAAGGGTTTGGTAGAAAAGTGATTTTTATCTTTGGAAAGTTTATGCATTAGGTTTTGGAAGCTTTTTAGTACCATTCAGTCATAGGGGATTTTAAGCAGAAAGGATTGTGTAGCCTAGGAATCAGAAAAAAATACTTCAGAGACAAACTTTTGTTTCTATTTCTTTTCATATTGTGGCAAACATACATAAAATTAAATTTACCATTTTAACTATTTGTAAGTATACAGCTCAGTGGCTTTAAGTACATCTGTGTTGTCATGCAACCATAACCATTATCACTATCCATTTCCAGAAAAATCTTGTTTTTAACACAGAAATAATCTGTGAATTTAAAAAGTCTGTTTCCACTTGGAAAGAAAATTTCTAAAGGTCAGATTATTTTGTTCTTTGTAGAGTTTCCTCTAAATTCCATAAATTATATTTGATGCACTTTTCAATTAGAATCCGAAAGTGACCAACTACTGGTTCTTTTCCAATGTGGAAAGACTGAAGTGCAGGACGTAGTCTTTTTTTCAATTAGAAAGTGTTTTGGTTTTGACTAGATGAGCCAGCAAATGCAAGTGGACAGAAGCTAGACTAAACATTATTGTATTTATTAGTGATTTGTGTGATGTAGAATTTGGTGGACAAATGTTGGTTAACGCCCTGAATTACTGTTTGAATTGATTAACAATGGTCAAAATTTGAGTATTTATTTATTTATTTATTTATTTATTTATTTATTTATTTATATTACCAGAGTGTGCTCACCAGGGAAAAGAGAGAGAAGTCCACAATGGGGTATAGTCGCACCATAATTCCCTTAACCATTGTGCCATGGTGATGCCCCCAGTGTTGGGTTTACATGTGTTTTACTCTTACAGTATGATAAGAATAGAAGGAGAAGACTATGGACAAAGACTAGAAGGAATCAAATGTTATAATTAAATCTCCATTAAATTGCACTGTGGACTAAATTCTATGTATGGCTCACTTTGTTCTGATTTATTTTTCTAGAACTCCAGTTTTTTGATAGTTTTAATGAATTATAATTAAAGATGGTAATTATC